CGCCCCGCCGCTCCCTGCCTCCTCCCTGCGCTGCAGGGCATCGCCCCCTCCGCCCGGGCGCGGCGCGGCCTGCGCTGCCCGCCGGGAGCGACCCCGCGCCTGGGCCTTGCTGCAGTGAAATAAAGGCGTCCCCGGGTGGCCTCCGTGACTTGCGCGGGTGATACGGAGGTGGGAAACGGAACCTGGGTACCGCGTGTGGTGTTCGGCCCAACAGGGGGAGGTGAGATTGCGGCCCGTCTGCTGTTCAGGTAAATCCCGCCTTTGGCTTGGCGTGGGCGTCTGCCCTCCGCCGGCGTCCTTGGAGGACAGCGATCACCGGGCAGATGGACGGGGTCTGCCCTGGAAGCTTCTGCCAATTCAGTGACGTTGCTTCAGGGTGCAACGCGTTTTAAAATGCTGCTTTCAAGCTAACTCAAGTCCTAGCACAGTTTAGCACCCTAGTTAGTTCTTGGCATAGCCTCTCTGCCAAGAAAACTGTTGTTGATGCAGCTCCTGTAGCCTCATACGTATAGGAACGTATAGAGCTGGAACACTGAGTCCTTTTCGCAGCGGACAGGGGCCTAGCGAGGAGGAGCCAAGCGGTGAGACCAGCTGCGGGAGGAGCAAGCCATTGAAGCAGATGACTGATCTTTAAAATTTAACTTTGCTATAGTAACGCTGGTGCTCTGCGTTTTAACGAAGGGAATGAAGTAATCCCTTGGAGGACTACGATCCAGCACATGTAAAGTCTTCTAACTTTGGCTAGCCACGGCTGGTGCAGAGTTAGGCCTACAATGCTGCTAATATTTTAAGTAAGCAAGACAGGGGCTTGATACGGGGTCTGTGGAGAAGCATTCGCAAGTAGAGCTACGCCTGTGCTTGATTCTTGGTTCTGGCGTTCAGGAAGCCAGAGAACTTGGCAAATACAATTTACTGGCATCCTCTGCTTGCTGTTGAAATACGCCCTGACGAATGAAATGTGGGAGCTGTTTTCTGACAGGCCCACAGGCACTTAGGGCAGAAATTAAGTATGCAGTGCGAAATTGAAATGAGGACCTTGGTAGGCAGTATCATCTTCAGAAAGGATATTTCTCATTTTATTCTGGCAGGCTGTGAAAAACTGTTACTAAATGGGCCAAGGATAGAGTTAAAATTGCAGTAAAACGTAGTGCCTTTCAGTGCTGTGACTGAGATCATCTTTGTGATCTCCAGGGTTAGAAAACAACAAAATGTAAAATCACTGCCTGTTTTCTTAGGTCATGGTGAGGAGTAAGTTGAAAAAATGAAGTGTTCTTAGGATAAATGCAAGACTGAAGTACAAGGGATGTTTCAAAGTTAAAGAGCAGGAAGTGTGAGAGGTATCACGACAGGAGTAACCACAGCAACAGTTACAGTTAGTTAAAGTTGTGAGTAAATTTTGCGTGCATTTCTTTGAAAACTGAAGGGGCCTGGGTTTTTGTTGCTTTAGACTTCAAAGATGAAAGTTACAGGCTGCTTTTTCACTAATGTAGCAGGTACTTGTTCAGTCATAGCATAAATCAAATACCTCATTAAAAGGAATGGTAAGAATTCTTCCCTCGTTGATCAACGAGAAGAGAAGAGATGTGAGGGAGAAGGAGGTAATGGAACTAAGGATTTTATTTCAACAGCATGTTCTTCATATGTGTAGGCAAGGGTCCAAGAAATGAGAGGCAGTAAAAGGCTGGGAGCAGCGAGAAGTCTGCTGGCTATTTTCAAAATGTATGAAAGTAGGAAGAGAAGAAAGAGATATGGGGAGGGAGTGCTGCGTAGTTGGGGAAGGAGAGACAGTTTCACTTAGCTTTGTAGAATTCTTGAAATGTAGTTTGGTTTTACACCTCAACTTTGTATTTTGTCAGGTTTTTTTAGTGCTAACACCCCTCTCCTCTACCAATATGCAGTGTAGGCAACTCTCTAGCCCAGAATACGCGGACTCGAGGGGTAAAACAGGAAGAGAAACAGGATCGTAGCTACTATTTGATTCACTGAAGATAATGACAGAATTAAGACTGAGAAACTTTTGCTTCTCAGTCAAGTTACATGTTCTTGAAAGGACAATTCTAGTTTTGTTACTCAATGAAAGTAAGGTGACATTATGAAAGAGGTAGGTCCTTGATTAAACAACGGCTCTTTGTGTGATTCTGACCTCAGTGTCAGCAGATGGTTTGCTTCTCAGCTATTGTAAGACAGTGCTAATCTTCAAACCTTGGGACAATAACCACGTGCTTTTTTAACTTGTCTCGCCAGATACGCAGGCTGAGGTGTGCCTTTTGCCGTATTGGAACTGAAGCACTATGGAGCAGTACACAGCGAATAGTAACAGTTCCACCGAGCAGATCGTTGTGCAGGCTGGACAGATTCAGCAGCAGGTATGGAAAGTGATAATGTGTGAGCTGGCATTGCCAGCGCTGAGTTACGAATCTGTCTGTGCTTTTCAGAGTTTCACAGAACCAGCAAGATGCTTCATGATGCTGTCTGCATATGCGCTTACCTGCTTCTGTCACCTGATCAGTGGTCAGTGATCTGACTTGACGTGAAGTCAGAGTAAATATGTTTTTAAAAAATACTTATTATTAAATTAATAGAATTGCAGGTATACAAGTTACCAAATTTCAGTGTAGGTAGGGAGTTTGCAAACTGGTAGTGACATGAGGAAAGTAATAAATCCTCTCTGGAAGTGGAGGAAACAGAATATTAATATAAACAGTTGTCCACAAGGAACAATGTAGATTCCTCCCAAAATTGAAATAGGTTTTGTTCAAGCCCATAGAGGCTTTCTCCAGCTTTCTCAAAAGAAGTATTTATTGAGATCCTTTGTTTGGATCAAAATGCACACACGGTACAGGAATTGCAACAAACCGTGTAGCTTTGGATGAATTCATCCATTCCAGAAAGAAGTGTCTAGTTCATGTTATAACGTGCAGATGAGGAGGGCTGGGGTTTTTAAGGGCTTACAGATTTCTACTGTTAAGCTTCACCCATTCGGATATAGTAATGCATTTTCAGATGAGCTGTTTATGTTTGTTCTAGTTCAAGGCAAGAGGAGTTTCTTAGTTTGTCATGCAAATGAATGAGCCACTGGATTATGTTTTTAGTGAGATACGCTTTGCTTTGTCATCAGCCTATCTGAGTGTTTGATAGCGGGGACCAGCTTCTTCCATTGAACTTAGTTGAAGTTGACTTTTTGAGTCAGAACAAGATTGTACTTGAGGTTAAAAAATTACATATTAATAATCATCAAAAATACCTGCTTCCAGCAGATAACCAAAGATATCTTTGGTTTTATTGACACTTTGTAGGTAAAAAGGAGGTAAAAACAGGTTTCATTTTTAGTACGTGCTCTTAAAGCCTGTGTTGTATTTGACATGAAATGTTTTTCTAAAATAGAATTTTTTAACAGGCCTGTTGTAGTACAGCTTTTGGTAGAGAGATGTCCTTCATCTCCCAAATGCTAACACAGTTAACACAGATTATTTTGGGACTCTTACTAAAGAGGCTAAAGATAGAAAAGGCTTTTAGATTTAACTGCTCTTGCAACCTCTCAAGATTGTCCTTCAAGGTCAGTGCTGGGAAGACATCGATGCAGGGGTGACGTAGACAAAGCTTAGGCTGTAGTCATCTGTGCTGCTGTTCTGCACAGAACAGAGTTTATGGCCTTTATTGCAGCTAACACGTCTGACGAAAATCTGGAATCCCTTCACAGTGAGAGACCTGGGCAGTGAAAGGAAACATTAATCAGAAAGGTAGAAGTCTAAAACACTGAAGCTGAGAGTTTAAATTCTGCAAAATAATCTCTCATGTTCTTTGTAAGTCATTTTTGTTTGGGAGATTGAAGCCTGTCAGTATCGTATGCAGTCTTGATGGTATTCCATTCTTAGGTTTGCTAAACGTATTCACATTCCTTATGTTCCAAGAGCAGTGTGTATGAATTTTAAATTCACCCTCTTCCAGCAAAGTGTCATTGTCTCTTGTCAGAGCTGTGCTTTTCCATGTTTCAAGCTATTCCTGTTCCTATTCCCAGCAGCAGGGTGGTGTCACTGCTGTCCAGTTGCAGACTGAGGCCCAGGTGGCATCCGCCTCAGGCCAGCAAGTCCAGACCCTCCAGGTAGTGGTGATCTCTCTAATTGTGTTTGTGAGCACTGCATGACTCTCACCATCGCCACATATCTAATGCTGTGTTTTTTCCAGGGTTTGAAACAGGAACACTTGTTAGCGGTAGTATCTGTGCTTTATGCTAGCTGTAGGGTTTTCCCTGAAGAGCCAAGGTGATAGCTTTTCATTGGATCTCAGGTGCATGCCAGAAACCCTGATGCATGCATGAATTCCTGCT